ATCAGAATGGAATATATTTAATTTTATATGTCTTCCCACTGGGTTTGCAGGAAGGATTTTCTTTTGCTTGAGTAGCAAAGCAGTTAGTTGCTAGAGGACGGAGAAAGCTGTAGCTACGTTAGCCTCTGCTGTTTAATTGTCTTTTTTTTCTTCATGTTCACTTCTGGCTGTCACAACAGCTGCTGTGAGGTTGAGCACTGTAGAGCCACACTCTAGACCAGGGGTGCCCAAAGTGGGGCCCGCGGGCCAAGCTTGGCCAACATTTGTTTTGGCCCGCGGGGACATTTCTTGGCCCCCCACAATTTATTATGCCACCCCAGTTGTCAGGTCAAGCAGCTCCCAGCTCAGCTCGCAACCTGCCAATAAAACAAGGAGAAGAAGAAGAAAAAAAAAAGAACAACACGAAGAACGGAGCAGTAGCAAGCAACATGGAGAGCAGTAGACAGTGGCACACAGTAAATAGGCATTTTAAACGAACCTGGGAGGAAGAATATTTTTTTTACGGGTATTAATTCTAAGGCGGTCTGCTTAATTTGCGGTCAGTCTGTCACTGTGATAAAAGAGTACAATATCCGCACTATGAAACGAGGCATGCAGCATTCTCAAGGTTCAAAGGCAAGGCACGGAAGACAAAGAGCCGAGAGTTGTTAGCTAAACTTCGCTCACACGACCCTCGTCAGCCCAGGAAAGCGCAACACAGGCCAGCTATGAGATTTCAGCTCTAATTGCCAGGAGTGGACGTTCATTTTCTACAGGGGACTTTGTTAAAGAATGCTTATCCACGGCTGCAAAGCTAGTGTGTCCCGCTCAGGCAAGAGCTTTCTCCCAGATCAGCCTCTCAGCTAATTATTACGGAGATGTTTGACCACATAAAGGCCTTTCGGGCCTTTCAGAGAAAACTGTGGCTACTGTGTCGACATCTGTCAGCAGGTGAGTTAATGCCTTGCACAAAATACATAATTTTAATGGTAATGTGATCATGTGATGCGGAGGAACAGAACTGTCAGTTGTATGATATGTGGAATATGACATTACTAGTGAGTGAAAATTGCAATATTTATTGCATTGATAATTATTAATTACTTTTTACTTCTTTTCAGGAAACCTGGCTCACTTCCCCAGTCTGAGAGAGGTAAACCTGGTACAACAGAAACTGTCTGAATATGCAACACTTGTCAGCAACCTAGACCTGGAGTTTGAAATGCGCTTTCAGGACTTCAGGAAGAATTCAGGTGACATGGAGCTGTTTTCCCAACCCTTCAGCACAAGTGTGGACTGTGTCCCTGATCACATTCAGATGGAGCTGATTGAGTTTCAGTGCGATTCAGAACTGAGGAATAAATTCATGTCACTGAAACTGAAGGACTTCTACACAAATGTCTCACCAGAACGGTACCCAAACATTAGGAAGCATGCACAGGTGACCAAAGACCAGCTTCATGTGTCTCACTAATAGTGTCAAACTGCTGCTGTTTGCTGTTAATATGGACATGCATATGGACATAATTTGTGGCTAAATAAAGATTCATTTGCTTTGTATTTGCTTCCTGTTCTTTGTACAAAGAGTGAAATGTTAAATACCTTTATAATAAACACATTTCAATCAGAAAGTGCACCAGGAAACCCCATCCAATTAATGCTCAGTAAGATTCAAAAGTTCACTTTTTTGCTTGCTACAGTACCTGCACTGTACTGTATGGCTGCTATATACAGTACAATACGTTTCAAGTCAGTACCCTCACCATATTTATCACCACTGTCAACTGTGTCTCATGTATACAGTGCCTTGCGAAAGTATTCGGCCCCCTTGAACTTTGCGACCTTTTGCCACATTTCAGGCTTCAAACATAAAGATATAAAACTGTAATTTTTTGTGAAGAATCAACAACAAGTGGGACACAATCATGAAGTGGAACGAAATTTATTGGATATTTCAAACTTTTGTAACAAATAAAAAACTGAAAAATTGGGCGTGCAAAATTATTCAGCCCCCTTAAGTTAATACTTTGTAGCGCCACCTTTTGCTGCGATTACAGCTGTAAGTCACTTGGGGTATGTCTCTATCAGTTTTGCACATCGAGAGACT